AAATATAATTGTTTAATTTTACACATCATTAGTATTTTAAAAAGAATTGATTTTATAACAAAATAATGAATTACGTGATATTTTTATTAATGGAAGGACTTTTTTTAATATTAAAAATTAAAGATTAAGAATCATTTTAGTATTTTATGAAGTTGAGGAACAATTTTAATATAAATTTGAAAGTTGAGAGACTAAATTAATATTTTAACTTTTTTTAAAAGCAAGCATTATAGGTAAATTACATATCACAAGTTGAAACTTTGAAACAAATTAAAGAGATTTGGAAAGAAAATGTTATTTCCTGTGAATTTTTAAAGTTGTAGATAGCACACAAAATGTACAAAACAAAGTAGCTAATTAAAGATTAAGTTGAAGGAATTTGGGAAGAAACAGTTATTCTCTGTGAATTATTCAAGTTACACATCACACACCACCAAATGTACAAAATAAAAATGCAAATAGATTATTTGAAATTCATCCAATGTAATCTTTATCGTAAATCCTCTAATTCCAATGTTAATAGCATGTCTTTGATTCAACTAAAGAGATTGACTTAATAAATGCTTACATTTTTTCGTCTCTCAATATATCACACATCCTTCTTGAGTGTTTAAACATCAAATTCAAACCTTGTAATTTTAGAATTTACTATCAAGACTTGCACACGAAAGCACGTTTTAGTCATGACTTATATGTGTTTTTATTTTTATTTTTAATATATTAGGTGTAATTTATTAAAATTTTAATACTAAACTACTACTAGAGAAAAGTTAACATTGAAAATTAATTTATTAATTTATAATTTAAATTATATTAATTTATAAAATAAAAATTTTTATATAAAAAATTTTTAATATTAATTTTTTATTTATAAAATTTAAATTTAAAATTTTACTTAAAATAATTAAAATTTTTTTACTCAAATTAAAAAGTCATCCTTCTATCACATCTCTTATGAATATTAGAAGAGGGGTGTCATCCAGACACTTTATGACACTCTTTTGAATAATTTTTTTATGACTCGGTACATGCCGCGTGAATTTCGTGTGTAATTGGTGATTGAAATTAGTGGGGGGAAGGATGCCATGCCAATTGCCAGTAAATAAAGTTGTCAACATCGTCATTTATATGGGGAGAGACTGGGGGATTAACTAGGGAGGGCAGCAGTGGTCCTACTGGTAGACTGACAAAATTAGGAATAAAATTGATATTTTTACTGAACCAATTGAATGAGCCCAACAGCTAAAGCAAAAGCAGTATATGGAATTTACTGCAATTGTCTTTATTTTTTTTTCAATAAATTACCATGCTTCGGCAATAGGCACCCCGCACCGCACCATTTCATTTTCGGTTGCTTGCTTGGTTTAGAGACCCATTTTCCACGTCCACGTTCAATCATTAGCCCGGCTAAATTGGGCCTGGATCTATCCTTTACAGACTGGACCGGAAGAAAATCAAAATCCGGAGAAGATTCAAAATCTCTGTTGGAATTCTATGGGTGAAGTTATTATTTATAAATAGTTAAAATCATATTTTGTAAAATATAATTATTTATTATATTTTTATATCTTAATAAATTAAATGATATAATAATCAATTAAAATAAAAAAATATGACATTAATAATTGAGGAGTGACAATAACATTACCTGAATTCAATTTCAGAACTTTGAGTTTAAATTACTGTATTAGTTTGGTGAAATTAATGTTTATTAATTTAAAATTTTTGATTTGTGGTAAAAAATTTAAAATTTTATATTGTCAAATAATTAATGTTTTTGATGTAAAAAAAAAGGTATTATTATATTATTATATGTCAAGAATTTGATTTTAATTAAATATATAGTAAAAAAATCCGTCACCAATTTATGATGCAGAGATCACCCTTTCCTTTTAAGAGGGAATTCTTGGTTGGTAAGAAACTTACCTTCTAAAGTTTTTTAAGGTTCTTTTTTTTTTTTTATTAATCTTTTAGTATTCAGTAACCACATTGATTTTTGACTAATTTGAAATTGAATTGCATCAAATCAAGCTGCGTTGGACCCATTAGGAGGAAACTAATAAAAAAATATTATATGAAAAATTATTGAGTTTAATAATTAAATTTTATTAGAATTTTGTTGGGTTATTAACTTTATTTTGTTTGCAAAGAAATTGATATAAAAAAAAGTTAGTAGAAAAAATTATTAGCCCAATGTAGGGCAAGTTATAGAAAAACTTTTTCCTTTGAAAATAGGTGAGAATAAAAGTTTACAGATTGAAATTATGTTAAAAAAATAAATACACAAAATATCATTTTTGACCTCCTTTTGTTATAATAGTAATATATGAAAATATATAAATAATCTTATCAAAAAGAAAAGTTTAAAAAAGTTTAGGGAAAAGTTTACCCCAACCAAATATGTTTTTCAACTTTCTTTTCTTGTAAGGTTATTTATATATTTCATCTATTAATATTACAACAAAATTAATATTTTAATCTCTATTTTTTCTAACACAATTTTTAACTCATAAACTTTTCTTCTTATACTTTTTAAATATAAAAGGTTTCCCCTAACTTTGCTTACGTGAAACTTTTTTGATAATGTTTTTACCAATTTTTCTTATATTAATTTCTTATCAAATACAAAAAAAATTAACAACTTAATAAAATTTTACTATAAAACTTATTAACTTTTCATTCAATACTTTTTTAATAACTTTTTTAATAAAAATTTTATAATAAATTTAAAACTCTAACCAAGCATGCCCTCAGAAAATAATAGCTGAAACTACATGGCAAGAATTTACCTTATCATTTTGGGCACAAGAATTTACTTATTTGAATGAAAGTCCTAACTTGTGATTAAAAAAAAAAAAGGCCTCAAAATTTTTATGCGAATAATCTTATGGAAGGAACACATGGTTGCAGATCGATCTTTTTCGCTCTGTTTTGTGCTGTGTAAGCAAGGTAAATTCATTTTCTAGTACTGTTGCTAGGTTTTAACTAATTATGGCATTTTTATCCCCACACAAAAGCCCAAAACAATGCAGGAGAAATACACAACCTAATGAAATGATTTTTGAGTTTTGTATGAATTATCTGTGGATATTATGGGCTGGGAGTATATCATTTGCTCTCATTAATAAAATTTTAATTTCGCTGATTAAAAAAAAAAAAAATTAAGGCATTGTTTTGGATCCTTCTGATATACCAAGCAGAAACTCCTCGCATGACTATATCGGTTCACTGTGAAATTCAACCTGAACATAATGTAAATCCAAATGTTTGATAGATTTGGAACATACTTGGTGAAACTTGTAAAAGTTTTAGTTTTTTGATATTATTTATGTTTTATAAATTTAAATTTTTTTCTTAAATACTATATTTTTTTTAACTTTTTTTTTAAATTTAAAAAGATCTTAAACAGTAAATTTTGAAAAATTTCAAATTTGTACTTTTTACAAATTTTTTTACTCACTTTTTAATCACTTTTTTCTATTTCTAAAAACAACTTTTAAATTTTTCTTCCAATAAAAATTTAAATTTATCACTCATAAATAGTATAAAAAAAAAAAAACTCTTACAAGTTTCACCAAACATGCTCTTAGTGTCTGGTTTGGATATTACTGATCCATTCTTTCCATGCTAGAAAATTGAAAGGATGGGTTTTGAAAATTCAGTGTTTTTGGAGGTATGTGCTTGGCAGATCAAAAGGGCATGTTTTTCAATTCAAGGATCAGTTTAAATGAAAGATATGTTAAATTCAGGCAAGTGAACAGACACCGTACCATGTTTGAAGTATGTTTCATTCATTCATTCATTTATTCTTGTGTTCTAACATTGACGGTGTATGGCAGTACTAGCAGTACAGATGTAGGAGTTTCATGATACAAGATTGTAGCTAGGGTGAGCTAGGAGAATGTGAAACAAGAAAATAGTGAGAGTTGTAAATAGATAATAATTAGCGGAAGAGATATGAGAGCAAATGCTAACTATATATACTTCCACCGGAATTAAGTTAAAACTTACAAAATTTAAGAAATTGTCATTATACAATCTTGTACAGGGTGAAGAAGATAGGGCTAATGGAATCCCCTTGAGCTTCTTGATTGATAGAGCTCCAACCTAATCTTGGCTTCGGGTAGTACAGATTCAATTGTGGGATCTTCCATCAGATGGGCTTGCTTTGACGACCATTCGAGGACAATAAGCACATCTTCTTGTGCAAGTGCCTCACTGTCTGGGACATTGAGGGCGATGTAACATAGGAGGGTCAGTGAAGGGAGCTGAACCATTTGCTCGCCGAAGTAAACCAGTTGAATCAAGTGCTTTGCACCTGCTGCGGTGATAATAGCTTTTGAGTGATTAACATTGAGGAAATTTTCAGGGCAGGCAAATTTGTTTAGTGCAATTGCGGCCTCCATGGTAACCTCTGGCTCCCTTTCATCTAGAAGTTTCACCAATGGTCCAATGATCCTAGTTTCAGTTGCTCGGAAAGTTCTTGCTAAGTTCCCAATAGATTTGATGCAGGGCAGAAGGAGGTCTGAATCAGCCTTTTCTATTACTTTGAGCAATTGATCCACCACAGCTCTGGCAGCCGGCGAAGTAGGCTTGAAAGCAGAACGCCTCAAATCAGGATTCTGTTCTGCTACTTCCGTGATTTCCATCAATGCCATGGCCGAATACGTCTGGACTTCATCAGAGCCCTTCTCTAACAAAACTGCAAAGCACAAAAGTGCTCTTGACTCCGTTATGCTGCGACATATGCTGAGATTACCTTTGCAAAGTTTCCATAGTGCCCTTGCTGCCATTTCCTTCATCTGAGCTTTAGTAGCGGGATCTTCAAATTCTCTCCCCTTAATGCTCGTCCCGGATAGCGAAACATGTGGATGGTGAGAATGCTGATGATGGTTCTTTGAATTCTGGTGATTTCCCTTAGGATGGTTAGCATGATTTTGAGCTTGTGTCGGTTGCGTGGGCTTTGAATTCGAACTTCCGGCAACTTGCCCTCTCGAAGCCATTGTATGATGAACCACATTGTTCATCTGACTAGAAGTTTGGTGCCCCGTTGGGTGAGCAATTTGACTTTGTTCGTCGTCATGATGCTCCTTTCTGTTGTTCTGCTCCGATGTACTACTGCTAGCCACTAGAGCAGAATGAATGGAAGACACCGATTGCTTGCTGGCAATTGCATACTTACTGTGTTCTTGGACGGTCTCGAAAGCAAGATGGCTGACGAGAAATCGGATTATGTTGTTATTCAAAAAATGGTCTTGACATTTGGGGTGGTGTTCGGCCAATTCCGACACCGCCCAAGCCACGACAGCCTGAACCTTCATGTGACCTTCTTTGAGGATTTTCGCAAACACCGTGCAAACACCTGCGTTTACAATATGTTCCACGCTCTCTGGGTCTCTCCCCAGCAATCCAATGGCTCTCGCTGCATTTTCCTGACCTTCCTTCTCCCTTTCCTTTGCCAATTTCAACAATGGAGGAACCCCTCCTTCCTCAATAATCAGCTTACCGTATCGATCATTGTCACGAGCCAGAGAAACCAGAGACGCCGCAGCATCCGATCTTTCCTCCAACGAACCCGTATGAAGAATCGCAACCTGTTCCCATATAAGACACAATATGGGCTCGTTCGCTGCAATCGGAGGGAGACCAAGATACTCATCGACCCGATCATCGGCGGAGGCTGATACCCTGAGGAGCCACGACACATCTCCTATGGAGTTCTCGAGCTGCAACACGGATTTCCTAAACGCTGCAGCCGGGATGATCGTGAAGACTCTCTTCACGATGCTGTTTGCGCGGCACTTGATGACGAGAGCAAGCGCCTTGTCGAGGACCTGTTCTGTGTCATCAATGATTCTGCGCGTCGGACGTTCGTAGAGATCGTTGCTGGCACGCGCTGCCTGACGAAGAAGGCCGGCGAGCTTCTCCGTCTTGGTCTTGAGCTCCTGGCATTCCTGTTTGAAATTTTGCACTTCATCTGCGATCTTAGTAACCTGGTCGGCCATTTGTATAGGCCGAGTCAGGATCTGTTTCACAATATCACCCATGTTCTACCGGAGGAAAGAAAAAAATAATAATAAAAAATCAAATATCCGAACACTAAGAATTCACAAAACAGAGGAAGATAACGAATTTCAGCTGAAAAATGGGGTCTTGATACAAACACGAGAGCCGGGGAAAAATTTTTCTCTTTCTCAAAATCAACCCAAATTATAAGGATTCAGAATAGTGAATGGAAATGGGATCTTGTCATTTTGGTTACAATCATAAGAATTTTTATTTTGAGGCTAGGGAGGCTTTAGAGATTGGAATTTGGATGGAAATGGTGGTGGTTGTGGGGTTGCCGGTGACGGTGGAGGTGTGGCGCCGCCGCCGGGGAATTTAGAGAGAGATTTGTAATGGTCAAACGAGATTTCCTTCCTCTCTCATGTCTAAGAAAAGATCCTACCATTTCTCAACCATTATATATTAGCTTGTACTAAATTGGTAGGGGCAATAAAATTTTATTATTTAGAATTGGAAAGAAAGCAAATGTTCAATCACGTTCGTGCCACGCTCTCTCACGCGCTACTGTAGACGACCAAAGTGAATGCAGCAGTACCGCCAGTAAGGGTTGTTCTGCTGTCATACCTGAAAATTATACATTTAAATTTTAATATAAAATTTATATTTAATTTAAAATTAATAAATAATAAATAAAATTTTATCATATAATTTAATACACCTCTTATACGTGAAATAATCCTTTTTTTTATATTTGGTACGCATATTTATTTATTACGTATTCCATATGAGATTTGGAATTGAGAGAAGTGGGGTCTATAGGGTGTTTGGGGTTTTTTTTTTTTTAGCAAGGGGAATTTTTTGGGGAACAGGAGAAATATTACAAACTACCCTTAAAAAGACTTGACCTTGAAATAAGACAAGGTTTTTGTTGCACATTATCAGCTTGCCTAACGCTGCTAGTGCATCTACAGGGGTTTAGTTGGGAAAACATTTTCCTTTAAAATTTTAAATTATTTTTATAAGATTACACATATTTTTATATATTAATATTACAAGAAAAGGAGGATAAGAGTTGCATGTTGATTATTAAACATTTATTTTCTCTAATATAATTACTAACTTATAAAGTTTTCTTTCGACTTATTTGAAAAAAAAAAAATTATAACTTGCCCTAATATGGGCTCATTTAATAATTTTTTAATATTAATTTCTTATGAAACATAATAAAGTTAATAACCAAATAAAACTCTAATAAAGTTTTATTATAAAATTTAATAACTTTTTATACAGTCATTTTTAATTTTTTATATAATACTTTCTTAATAAAAACTTTTCCAATGAAATGATTCTCTAACCAAATAAGTCCAATAACATTATTGGGTTGCGTCGAGATTTTGTTAAATATGACATAAAAATTCATGTAAAAAAGTAATCTTTTAGAAAGTGATTTAGTTAATTATTTTTAAGTTTATAACAAATTCTATATCAAAAAATAAAAATGATGTAATGATAATATCATATATGATTGTAAATTTATATTTGTAACGTATCATTAAATAAGTAAATTTATATAATATTAAGAATGAACCCTTGAATGAAAAGAATCAATTATGTAGCAACAAATCATATTGTAAATTTGTAATATTGTATGACATTATAACTATATAATTTTTCATTAAAAAATAATTATTATTATGAGATGAGGGGTATCATAAACAGACTTTTAAATGATAAAAACTCATTCATATAATTGTACATTATAATTATAAATTTACAATATTATATAACATTTTAATTATTTTATTTATGTAAGTCATACACAAAACCATACGCATTTAACTCTTAAAATTATAAAAATATACACTTTATCTTTTAAAAGCAAATTTATTAAATGAGTACAAGGGATAAAAATATATACTTAATCTTATTGTGCCTTGAAAATATGTATTTAATCATTAAAATTAAAGGTGAAAACTAAAAAATCTATGAGTTTGCTACACTTTTTTTAAAGGTTTTTCTACCATATATTTTTAAGATATAAATTAAGAGTATTTTTTATCATAAATTTATATAAAAATTAATATTAATTTTTATATCATTATTACGTAAATAAATTTTATTAGATAATTAATAAATTAAATATCAATTTTTGTTTTTTCAAGATTCTTATTAAGTGCAAAGATTAAAAAAAAGCTTTTTACAAAATATAAACAATTAAAGTCACATTTTTATAATATAAAAAATTAAGTATACATTTTCAAATAATATAAGATTTATGTACACACTTTTGTGAATTTATAGTTAAGTGCAGCAATACAAACTAAAAGAGCTTGTATGGCTAGAGTGAAGGATGAGAGGTAAAAATGTTTAGAGAAATCGAATTACGTCACTGGCCAAAATTTTAAGTTGATTGGTCCAATCAGCCTTCGATCCAAAGGGTGTGTTATGTATTTTTACGTATTATAATATTAGGGAAATTATGGCATTTCAAAATTTTATTTTTTCTAATGTAATCGTTAACCAATAAACTTTTTTTTTATATATTTTTTAAAGAAAATAGGGTCTTTCTTCTTCTTCTTTTTTTTGAAAAGCCAAATAATATTTTTAATAAAAAACTGAGTACAAGAGATACTCAAATTCATTTAAAAACACACAAAAAATACTAGTCAATTCAAGTTACTCCCATCTTTCAAACCTATCCTTCTCCAATTTACTTATTCCCCCCACAATTAATAGTAAGGCATGAAATTGGATCTTGCAACCAATCTGAAAGATTAAAGTAACACCTAGCTTTCTTTGCCTTAATCCATACAAAAGATCACAATTGAGTAAGTTCAAATATCTTACCCCTATTTGCCTCCGAATCTCGGAAAATCTTTTGATTTTGTGCAAGCCACACGAACCAAACCATTGTGTTCCAGATGGAGTCTCATCCTTCTTTGATGCTTAGATGTTTAGTCCATCTTCCGAAATTTTCAAAGATTTTCCTACCGTCCTTGTCTAACTTGATGGTAATCCCCCACCAATTAGCACAAGCCACCCATAACCACCCAGCTACATTGCAATTCAAAAACAAGTGCTTAATGTCCTCGTCCTCAACCTCACACAATGTACATTTCCCATCTCCCATGTCCTTGATGACTCCTCTCTTAAACAAATTCAGTTTGGTTGGAATATTTTTATATTAGACATACTTAATATTTTCATAATCCAAAATTTTTTAATTGCAAATTATTTATTATCTAATTAAATTACTATTTTATAAAATACATCAAAAAATATAAAACAAAAATCCATCTTAAATTACAAGATTGCAACTTGTAACATATACATAAATCTTTATCTATAAAGAAAAAAATCCCAAAGGAAAAGAGTTAAGATAGGTAAAGAATCCAAATTTTAATAAATAATTTTAGAGTAACGAAAATTAAAAGAAAAATTATGTAAAAATTTCTACTAAACCTCCTAAAATTTCAATTAAAATTTCCTTTCAAAAATTAACAAAAATAATTAATCTTAAGATTGAGTTTGATGATTTTTTAAAAAAATTAAGAATTATTTTTAATCCACCTAAAAAATTAAAATAACATTTAATATTATAAAAAAATTAAAGACTAAATCTAATACTTACCATTTAAATTTATTTTTAACATCCATTAGTTCTTTTCTGGGTCCGACCGACCAACTGACTCACTCTACTCTCAAAAAGCATGCGGACCACTTATTCGTCTTTTTCCGCTTTATTTTGATGGTGAGATCCTCATTTTTATTGAAAATAGTTAATTTTATTAAAATAATTAACTCAATTATAACATAGCTTTATTTTTAAAATAATTTTTACAATATAATCATAAAATTAAATGTGTATGGAAGAGAAGTGGGTGTTTAGGGTACATCTTAAACCATATAATCATTTAAAAGATTTGTTTTGCTTGCACATTAATTCACATGTTAAAAATATAAATTATAGTTTTTTATTTTATTTATATAAAAATTAAAAATTAACTTTAAATTTATCAATTATCTAATTAAAAAGAATTTTAATAGTATTAGTGTTAAAAATATATTTTACTTTTATATATTTTTTTGTAAAAATTTATTATAAAATAATACAATTAATACACTTTTAGAGCAACCATCATTTAATTAACTATTTGATGATATGTTATATACAAAATACTATAAAGAAAAAATAATAATTCAATATTCAATGTTTTGTAATTAATTCCTAACTAAATGAGAGAAATAATCATTACAAATGTATTTGGTTTAATTAATTTTTTCAGTTTATAATTTTTTTAATTAAGTATTTAAAATGTTTTAAAATGTCATATTATTGACTAATTTAAAATAGGTATTAACTGTCCTATTAGCTAGTAACTAATATTTACATTGATAATAAAAATTAACAATTATAACTATTCACTGTGGGAAACAACTAAATCATATAAAGTCTACATAACTAACTGAGCATAAAAAGCAATTAAATAAAGATGGCAGACATTTCACCAAACAGATCGAAGATCTACTGAAAAAAAATAAAAATAAAGATAAAAGATTATAGCCTGCGCAAGTACATGTGATCCTTTCAAATTAGTAAAGTCAACAATATTAAAAAAAATAAATTAATATGCAGTGATGCTTTCAACCATATTAATTGGAGTCATCCTCTAAATAAATGATCTTAGCACCTCCCTATTTACACTAATAGTTGAAGGTATTTTGACTTATCATATATACTTTGAATATATAATTAAATTTATAAGATGGGTTTAGATCAATAATTAAAATTTCATGTTCAATTTGTATAAATCATTTTTAAATCTAGTTCTACTCTAACAGGAACAAACCAAGATTATACATATAAATATAAATATAAAGAGAATTAAATCAATGCTATGGGTTTCGGTCAAAAAAAAAGAAAAATGTTAAAACTATGGGACAAAATAGTTATACGTTAGGTTTAAAAGATAATGAAGAAAAATATAATGAAAATGATGCATACAACCATTCATGTGTTAGTTATCCTACTAGCTATATAGATTTTGATTATAATTGACGGCTGAAAATAAACATAACTAGCTGTATGCATACAAAATATATATAGATTTTGATTATATTTGTAATATATCTTAATTCATCTCTAGATGATTTGAAACCATATTACTTTATACCAACTAGATAATTTCAAAAATACTAACTTTTTAAAATATCGTATAAAAATATTAGCTTATTGATAAGGGTTTAATCAAGTCGTTACTCATCACTTATTATAAAACGTTAATTCTAAAGTGAAGGTTAATAAATAGTTGTTTTCAATTCCTTGTAATATCACAAATATATATAGTATATATATTTTAACGCCCCGTCATCAGTTGCGCGGCTCTCCATACAACGCACGCAGATTAATTAAGCATAAGGGAAGTA